AGTACAGCTTTCAATACTGGAATAAAAATACTGCAATCTCCAGTACAGCTCTCGATACTGGAATATACTGTACTGGCAGCACGGCTCTCGGTACTGTACTGTACTGGACGTTTTAGTACGCAGTTAAATACTGGAATAAAAATACTGTACTGTACTAAACCTGCCCGTAAGGTTCCTTGGTTTCGGTTATCCCTTGAGGGTGAGTCTAGCCCTGCTCGCCAGAAAGACCCCCCCCTTCACTACAACCCATGTCTAAGCAAAAGCTTGTCGAGGAGCGAGGGGAAGAAGGGAGAGTAGAACAACCTTTTTCGCTTGATAGATATATATTCTATCTATGTGTCCTATACATTCTATCTATACATCCGAGATATTTCTTGAATCGACCCCCCCCCCCTACCGAAAATCAAGATTACATCCCATGCCCCGGATGGGCGGNGGGGGGGGGGGGGGGGGGGGGGGGTATCGCAGAATCGAGAAGGCACTTCACGGCTTTGCAGACCGTTCCGGGGAACCGTTCTTGTGTTCTTACAGCGAGCGGCGTTGAGAGCATTTGTGACACCCAGCGTCGCGAACGCACAGCTCGGACACTTCAGCCTTCTTCTTCGCTTGTCCCGCTGCTTGCAGCGATAGGTTTCTTTTTCGGTTGCCTTGAGTCACGTCGTTTTGCGACGACTCCCATGGAGGTGAGTGCAGTCCTCGCAGGACGGTTGGGTAGCACAACATTTGCAGTGGCCTTAGTAGACTCTCGAGCAATACAAGCAGCGGTGCTTTGGCTTCATCAGCGGTGATTGTGAAACGCCTTCCTCCCCCACCCTCGGCCACCTTCCTCGGGGTTTGGCCGTCGGTCCTCTCCCCTTACTACCTTTCATATAGACGTGTGCTCTTTGGTGGACGGGAAACCGAAAAACCACGCTTGTGTACAGAAGCCGCGACGTAAATTTCCTACTCTTGTCAGTACCAAAGCGCAACAGCCCGCTGCATGCAGGGAGGATGCATAATAGGATGTATAATAGGTAGGACACACCAGCTCCCCCCCCGTTTCGTTTTCGGGCTCATCGTATGCATACAATAGTGATAGTTTGTCTGAGTGATAGTTTGTCTGATGACCTAGCATACAGAAGTATTTATTCACCACAGCTGTCTGCTGGCGGTGGAAATGCCAACATCATTGAAGTTTGAAGTCTGTCCTCCTCAGTGGGCCCCAAAAGTTAGAGCCGTCAAGACGGAGGGCAGGCTCAATTTTTGGTTCTTCGCCACCGCCGAGCGCAGATTAATAGTACCTACCGCTGAGGTGTGTTTGTGCACCCTATAGCAGTAGCACTGCTGTAGACTGATTAATTAGCGGTGTCATTTTTCAGTGCTTACTGCACGCAGGTGCACCAGTATCAGGGGCAGATGTTGCCTTGTAGACTAGCTGTTGCTGACGGCGCAGAGAACGAAACAGCGACAGGTAGTTTCTGTTTAGTTTATCTCCCGTCTCGTGCAAGGTCGCCATTACTCCTACAACAGGCACCCTGCTGCTGCTGCTGCTGCTGCGGCGGCGGCGGCGGCGGCGCTTCCGCCGAGCAAGATTAGGGACATTCCTCCGCACCAACCCGGCGAGATCTTATCCCATGTTATCCGAGCAGTTCTAGACTAGTCCGATCTTGGTCCTCCGGCTATCCCCAGTACATCCAACAGAGTCTCCATGTAACACAAGAAAAAATGATGTGCATATGCATACCTTGCGCTTTTCCCGCCAGGACTCTTCCCCTGCTGTCCCTTCTGAGACTCTGGCAACGACTACGACTGGGAACATGAGCCTGCTCGAGGTCCAAAGCGAGCAGCTCGCCATCAAGCTGCAGCAGGAGGCGTCCGGCAGTGGCGACGCCGGCAACAGCACCGACGGCGACGCCGGCGTCAAGGACGACGCAAGCGGTGCCGGACGACAGCAGTGGCCAATCCCCACAGCACAAGATTCCTCTTCGTTCTCGCAGGTGGGCGGTACAAGTAAGAACCCTATTTATGCGCATGTACGTATTGTACCCCGTTTGTTTTCCCTGAGCCTTTCTCTCTTCTCGAGCGTGTGTCGAGGGAATCGCCCTCAACAGGCAGACGTTGGGAAGCTTGATGAACCCTTCGTGGAAGAGGATCTCCAAATTTCTGTTCTTTTTGTTTTAGCCGCCGCCGCCGCCGCTCTTTTACGCACGAGAGGCCGACGCGGGTCGGCTCTTCTCACGGTCCCGCGTGGCCATGTCGCCACCGTTCCTTTCAACCGCTTTCCCATTCGTCGCCCCCTCCCCGCCTTCCCCTCTCGCGCTAGACCCCGAACGCGTCTCAGGGCGCATGGGGGGTTCCCGGACGAAGCGCTGCCGACCTCCTACGCTCCGCCAACGCATCTGCAGCTGCTACGCCCGCCTCGTCTCAAGAACAATCATCATCTCCGCCTGCTCATACCACCGCCGCTCGCTCCTCCGCCGCCGCCGCCGCCGCCGTCGACCTCGCGGTCGTGCCGCTAAGCGCCGAGTCGATCGGGGCACTGGTGGGCATGGGGATCGACCAGGCGTGGGCGGCGGCGGCGCTGCGGCGCTGCGGCGGCAACGACGTGGGCCGGGCCGTGGAATACTGCTTCTCGCACGACATGGGGGCGTTAGCCGAGGAAGACGCGAGGGCCTTCGAGGCGGCTACTGCTGCTGACGTGTTCCAGGTGCGGGGGGTGTACTCATGAAAACGCATGCCGTACTCGTTAGTCCATTGACCTTGCATCCCTGCAATGCCGTGGCGGAGCGAAATGTATGCTGGGTTTTCGACGGCCCAGGGGGTCCCCTGTTGGCTCCGGTTTGTTTCTACATATGTACCTCAGTTGATTCAGATCATTCGCCTAAGGAAGTACGGCAAGTTCACGCGAATCCTTGACTTCAGCCCCGTTCGCCTCGTCTTTGGACCCACGATGGATGCCGAAGCAGCAGCAGCGCCAGGACAATGAGACCCAGCACCAGCAGCCGGACGCAGACAGTGACATGGCCTTCGCCCTGGCGCTGGACCAGGAAGAGAGAAGGATGTTCGAGGCGCGCCGCTCCACCGCCGCGGCCACCCTGGCCACCGAACAGGGCACCTTCGGCTCCAAGGTCAGGGTCGCCGCCGCCACCGCCCCCGCCGCCCCCGGGGGCACCGGCACCGGGCCCTCCGGGGGGGGGGGGTCCCAGAACCCCCCCCAAAGATGGGGAGTTGCCGATGCGGAGGGTTTCATGGACGACGGTGGTAAAGATCTATTGTCCCAGGACACTGAGTTGCGCGAGGATGGGGATAAAGGCGATGGTTTGGAGGAGGGGGAGGGGGGGGGGGGGTTTCGGGCTGTCCCCGGGGGGGGGCGGAGGAAGGGGAAGATGCCGCTCTTTAAGAACTCCGAGGGGGAGGTGGTGTCGAAGCACGACGCCGTCATTTGCGGGAGGTGAGAGGGATAGGCTAAATATGCAGACAGGGGCAGGCAGAGGAAACGAAGCTCAAGCTCCAGCTCCAGCGAGAGGAGTGGTGATGGTGGTAGTGTTTAACCCGAACAACGTGAACATTTTCTCCCCTTATGACATGGTGTGTGGGACTCTCTTTTCACGCGCTATCGTTGCGCCTGCGCGCCTATCAAACAGACCACCACCACACACATACCCTCGAACCATGCCCCTCTCTTCCTGTAGTAGAGTAAAGCTAACACCTCCCCCCGTCCCCACGCTACGCCACCCCTTTCGTACTTGGTGTCTCTCCCACAAGGATGAACGCGCGAGACGCGTCCAACTTGGAGGGAGTCGGAGACCTGACGGCGGCCGGGGTGCGCCTCGGCAACCGCACGTTCAACAGCCTTAAGCGTGACATCCGCAAGAAGAAGGAGAAGGGCATGGCCGCCGGGGGCAGGGTCGAGCAGGGTGAGTGGGTGCCTGGAGCGACGACGATGACGTCATTTTTTCATGACGCCTCCTTTTCTCTCTCACACACACTCCAAAGTGTGCGGTTGTTGGCGCTTGGTATTGTAGTGGCACAACCTCTTTCTCCGTGTTTGCCGGCTCTCTCCATGCTAGTAGACACCACCTCTGTCACCCTCCCCAGCCTTTTAGACCCTCTTGCGGTGCGTTGTGGTGCGGTGCGGCGCGGTACGGTACGGTACGGTACGGTAAGGGGTAAGGCATGCACTGCTCAAGTTGTGGCGCTGTGCAGTTCTTCCGCGGGAGGCGGGGACAACCCAAGGGCCTCTTGGCGCCGTAGACACCAGTTGGCTCTACCACACGTCTCAGTGAGGCATGTGAGAAAGTGTGATGATATAAACAGGTTGTTTACGAGCGAACTGCGGTGGGCGGCATACCGGGCATGTAGTTTGCTTTCGTGGTTTGTGTTTGGCGAGGTGATGGTCATGACAGCAGTTGCGCAGGTGGTTTCCTCCCGGGTTGAATTGAAGCATACTCCGTGTGAGAGATGGTAGATGCCGAAAACATCTGAACCCCCCGAATCTTGGTCTGTTTGCACCCCGCTGGCAGCCACGAGGTCTACCCAGGAAGGGGTCATGGACCCCCGCACAAGGCTGCTCCTGTTCAAGATGCAGAACAACGGCACTCTTTTGGAGGTAGGTTTGTTTCGTTCATTTGTATGCTTGTTGGGTACAGTCATTTCAGCTGTCAGCTACCACCCTCTTCCTGGTCCCGCCCCTTTTCGCCTGGTGTGCTTGTTTTCCTTGCAAGCTTGCGGCCCTGGCTGCTTGTTTGGCTTTCGCTGCTGTTGGTTGTCTCCAATTTTCAAGACGCGTTAGTGATGTACGGTACCTTCTCTTTGTTCCCCATGCTGCATACCTCTTTTAAGGCAAGGGGAGTTTGACCGTGGTCACCAGATAAACCTAAACATGGCACTGTCTGCTCCAATTGGGCACATAGCAGTATGTGTTTCAAAAGGGTACTGAAAGGTGCTCTTTCTCTTGGTGGATGTCTGTCGCGTGTCTCCGCCCCCCCCCCCCTCCTGTACAACATGCCCAGCTTCGCTACTTGTGATGTGAAATACCTCGTGGAACTGATCCCCATTCCATGGCTGGGCTTCGTCCCGTACCATATGTGCTACCCACAGGTTCACGGGATGGTTAAGACAGGGAAGGAGGCCCATGTTTACCACGCTCTCGCACCCGAAGACCCCGAAGCCATGACGGGTAGCCGAGGTGTCGCGTTGAAGATTTTCAAGACGACGCTCAGCGAGTTTGGAAACCGTGCGGCGTACGTTGACGGGGACCCTCGGTGAGCGAACCCCCCCCCCCCCCCCCCCCCCCCCCCCCCCCCCCCCCCCCCCCCCCCCCCCCCCC